CAATCCAACCCACTAGAACTTATCAGTACACGACATTATCCACGATCCTCTCACGCTGTTCCATCCGGGGCTTCCCAGGGGAGTCCTGATCAAGCTGGGCGCTGTGGACAAGCGCATGGAAGGGCCCCTACTACGGCTAGTGATGCCGCCGACACCCGGGAGACATCGGCCAGCATGGATGCCACGGGCCAAATACACCATCATGTTCACCGCAACGCCATGCAAGACCTCACTCACTCGGTCCGCCGCGCGTAGAAAGCTGACTTCCGGTCCGACGAACAGGAAGACTACCGCAGCAAGCTGCGTCCCTCCCCTCGTGTTTCTTTCATTTTCCTGGCATGCATATATCTGACGACGGATGCCTGCCGACGTTTCCGCCAGGCGGCGCCAAGGTGCGCCGCCCCAAGATGGGCCGCTTGTAGATGGTGATGGCGGCGGGGTATAAGAAGCAGACGAACCGGACACAGGTGTCCAGCAACGCCCCACCTCCAACCTCCAACCGCCTTGTATGCATCGTGTGTGTAAGGGGGAACAAAGGGAAAGGATATCAAGATGACGTGTACGTGAGGAAAATGGTGGGTTTCGACTCCCAAGCGCCCTGGGGTATGCGGACTCCTCCCCTCCCAACCCTTGTTTCCCGAGACCGTTTCGCCCAAAGATCGAAAGCTGAAATTCACCGCGGCGCCCGCTTCCCGCTCCGCTCGCTGGCTGCCAAAGAAAATGCCTTGTCGGCGGGAGGCCGACGGCCGGATCACTCCGACATCTTGCCGTTGACGTGAGGCTTGACCTCGCCCGCCTCGGTGCGACACCGGTTGCACATGCACCAGCCGCCGAGGCTGCCGCTGGCCCATTCCCGACGCTGGTCGACGGGCAGCGTGACGTCGCAGTAGTGGTTGAGAACCTCCTGTCCAGCCTTGAGGCCGCCGGGGCCACCGCCCACGACGCGCTCCTTGCGCGCCCAGAGCACCATCCTGCCTCCCCATTCCCAGGTGACGTTGGGGTCGCAGTCATGGTTGGCCAGACACCAGAAGGGGTGCACGGCGGCGACGTCGGGGCGACCGTCGCGGGGGTTCTTGCGCGCTGAGGCTGTGCCGCGGAACTTGCTGTACAAGGTGTTGAGGACCCAGATGTCGTGGTGCGCCAGAGTCGCGTAGATGTCAATGTCCATCTTCTCGAGGATGTGCAGCGGCGTCTCGATGTTGTACTTGAAGGAGAAGGGGAGGGTCCACTGTGGTGGTGGCTCGGCCCTGGGCGAAAGGTCGATTTCATTGTCGGCGGACGGCACAAAGTCGCCCCAGATGTACTTGATCTGCTTCGTCTCCAGGGGGTGGATCTCCTGGTTGTTGGAGAGGGCCAGTATCCTGGCCAGGAGCAACAGGTGGAGTGTCTCGTCGGCTTCCTTGGCGTCGCCGTCCTTGGCGATGCTATCGACGTCCTTCTCGCACACGGCAGGGTGGTAGAGCTCCTGTGCTTGGTCGTGGCAGTACTGGCTGCAGAAGACGGTATCGTAGCACTCGTCGCAATTGACGGCAGGTGAGTCGCTGCCGAGTGGCGGCAGCTCGGAGCCGCAGGCATCGCAGACTGGCTCCTTGAGGCGGTTGTTGGCGGTCACCAGCGAGTACTCTTCAAGAACGACTTCACCCGGGCCAATGTCTTGTGTGGCGAAAAGACCGAGCTGCTTGCAGGTGGGAATAATGTCGTAGCTGTCCATGTCGCTGGCCCCCTCCAGTAGCACCGGCAGCTCGGACACCTGCACGGCGCATTTGGGGGCAAAGCGCGATAGCTCCTTGTTGAGGAAGTCGAGGGACTCGTCGGAGAACCGGTCCGGCTCATGGGTGTTCCAGGGGTATACCTCGCGGCGAACGAGACCCGAGTCAGGCAGGTCGGCAATGGTGAACTCGCGCCTCCTCAGCCGTTGCACCGCGATATCATGTATGTACGCCCTGGTCTGCATCAGATCCTCATTTGTCGGGGCCAGCGTGAGGCCACGCTCGCAGAACTCGGATGCGCTCTTCAAGCAGCCGCAAAGTAGCAGGTTCAGGGAGAGGATCTGGAAAGCGCGAACCGAGGCGAGCTTGGCTATCTGCGAGGGTACGTCGTCGGGGTGCTCTTGAATGAAGCTTGTCGACAGGTTGAAGAGAAGGCCATGGTCAAGAACTTCTGGGACCGGGTCTAGTGCCAGGCTTCCGAGGGCCTCTCTCGCCTGCTCATGGTATTCAAAGCCTTCATTGAGAACCTCGTCGGTCAAGAGCAGGGCTCGGTATGCATCGCCGGCGGCGAGGTCGGGGTAGGCAAGCTCGGAGTAGACGATGGCGCGGTCGAGGTAGGCGACGGCGTTGTAGGGAGAGTCTTCGAGAGAGTCGGTGAGCTGTTGACGGCGGAAGAGGAGCAGCTCGACACGGCTCGAGTGCAGGGATTGGCCGGAAGAGTCGGTTGGAGAGTTGGCCATGTTGACAGGTTGTATTGTGCGTGGGTGTTTACCACGAGGTCGGCGCAAGAGGTAGGTGAGGACGAGACCCCATGTGGTTGATGAAGGCGCAAAGCAAAGGGCGAAGAAGACGAATGCCAGGCGCGGGGTCGTGCGTGGGTCGGAAGTGAGGGCGAAGAGCGCCTAGTCAGCAGACGTCTCGACGAAACGTGAGGTCGCCAACCGCAGCAATGCGAGGGCTTGTGATCGTCGCCACGCGGCAAGTGATGTGCAGGAGCTGCGCAGCAAAGCCGAGGGTTCGAGGGGCTGAGCGACAGATCAGCGGTTGGGGTTCAAACTTGTCGGGGTGGTTCGAGGCTGTCGACAAGACTGATAGGCTGCAGGACAAGCGCGGACGAAACTCCGTCAGCCGGGGGTGTTGAAAGATCGACTGGCAAAGAAAAAAAAAGAAGAGTCAACGAGCCACGGTCGAGGGCCCAGAACGTCGAGGGTGCTCGGGTGGTGGGCGAGAAGAAGGGTCTCGGCCCAAGAGCTGGTAGTATATGTGCGAGAGACCAGCAAGGGTCCCCGTCGGATTCTGGTCTGGTTTGGTCCTGGTCCTGGGTCCGGCGGCGCACACGACGACACGCGAGCCCGGTGGCGCCCCTTGTTGACAAGCTTGCCTTGCCGGTGCGGGCGGGCGACCGGGGGTGAGGGGGTGAGCACAGGTACTCGACAGGTGGATGGAATGGCGGAGGCGAAGGAGGAAAGGGTGGACAGCTGGACGGGTGCTAAGAATACTGCGATGATGATGTAGGGGGGTGCACCGAAGACGAAAGTGTGAGAGGAGGATGGGAAAAAAAAGAAGACGAGCTGACAGGGGTGTTGAGTAGGGCAGGAAGATCGTCGTCATAGGTCAGGTAGGTAAGGAAAGTCCCGCCCGTGGGTTGGCGCCGACGAGAGGGAATGAATGGAGGAAGCCACGATGAACTGACGACGGACAGCACGTCGACTGGAGAGAATGAGGGGGGGGGGGGGGGGGACAAGACATATCCGGCAAGTGGGGTTTTTGGGTCCTATGGTTTTGGTGGTACCTCGAGGTTCCAGAGATGTGCGGTGGGTGCGCCACTGTGTGCGCCGGTCATCCAGTGGACGGACCGATACGTAAGGGACCCAGACCAGCACCCTTCCCTCACGCTTCAGCCCGGGGACACGGCATGGCAGGTGGATGGACCCTTGAGCCCTGAGAACGGTGACGGAACTGGAAAAAAATCAGGGCTGCGGTGAGGTGCAGCAGTCAGGTGCGGCCTTCCTGCCGCCGCCACGGTGGTGTCTTTGCCCCCCCTCCCCGACTCGGAGACGCGCGCAGAAATTCAGGGTCCTGGGCGGGTTGCGCGTCGCCCGCTCTCCGACCGGGCATCTCCTGACGTCCGACGTCCGTCTGGGCGAAAAGACGGGAAAGACGGTTTGCTTCACATCCATCATTTCGGGTTTTGGCCCAACTTCCATCCTTCCATTTCACGGTATCCCCCCGCCATCCGGCGACACTGGAGCCCCTCAGCCCCTCCCCTGGTCACAAAGACCCCCCCAAACCCCGCCAAGCGGCCGCCAGCGTCCAGTAAACTTTGGGCGGACTTGAGCGACGGGAGGGTCGAGTGCGGAAAATCCATGGCGAACACAAAATCCTGCATCTGCACGTCCTCGACTTTTCAGGGCACCGGCGGCCGTCACGTCGTGATGCCCTCTTTCCGGGTCCGGGATGTGACCCTGCCGGGGGTTGCCCAGCTGGCCAAGGATGTACGAAGAATTTGTCTGCCTGTCTCCTTGTTGCCCGAGATGTCTACAGTAGAGAGTCTGGTCATGTTCTCTAAAACTCAAGCCATGCGTCTGACGCTCCAAACGGAAAACCTCACAACGAGGCATCTCGATCACGACCTCTCCTCCCCCTTGGAAAGCCACCGGTCTGGCCCGTCTTCTCCACCCTTGCCCGTTCGCAACCCACACGCACAACACGCACACCATTTCGCCTCCTGGACCCCTACCCTCCACTCGACCCTGGCGCGTCAGGGGCGCAGGCAATTGAGGGGTAGATCCCCCTCCGCAGAGAGAGTCGGTGATGTCATCGGTCGAGACCCCCATGCAAGATTCGCCGCTTGGCAAACGCCCCAGGGCGCCGGTTCCACCTGTCCCAGCGGTCACTGGTCAGTCGGACGGGACCCCGAGTCTCTTCGGGAAACCCTCGCTGACGGACGGCCGCTAGGGTCCTCGCCCGTCGGGCCTGAGGACCCTGGCGTTTTTCCCTGGCAGGACAAGGAAAGAAAATGGGCCGTTCATCTTTCTCCCTTCCACTTTCTTCCAAGGCATACTTGACTGACTCGGGCCCGGGGGGAGGACGTTGGTGACCCGCGTGTGATGACTGTGGCCAGGACCCAAGCCCGCCTATCCACAGCTGCATGATGATTCCTGCGCGCACGGCCGTCCACCGGGGCAAAAGGTCCGGTGGTCATGCATTCATTGGACAAGTTGTCACGATGCTCCCCGTCTTGACCCAGCTCTTAGCGGTCTTCATGTGACAGTCCAGGCGACAAAAAGCAACCCTGCATGGGGCTCGAACCCACAACCTCCCGCTGATCCTCAAATAGGAGGCGGATGCGCTACCATTGCGCCAACAGGGCGATTGATGGGATGAGGAGTGTTTTGTTTGATTATATGGCGTGGTTGTAGCGGACTTTGTGTTGTCGTGGGATACGCCAACAAAGGGGGATGTCTGGATCGAGAGCCCGGGAAAAGTGGGTCCCGGAGAACCGCTGTCCCGGCACCCTCAAGACTGGGCTGCTGAAATGAGAGACTCGGACACAGCCAGGTACAGTAACTACAGATAACCGTGTCAATCAGGGGCGCAGATGGACTGCGACCGAGTAGTTGATCTAGGTGGACTGCGACCGAGTAAATGATCTAAATGAATTAAACGAGCAGTTGATCTTGATGAACCGAACGAGCAGATCATCTAGATGAACCGAACGAGCAATTGATCTTGATGAACCGAACGAGCAATTGATCTAGATAGACCTGGCCGCGGCTGTTGTGTAGTGCTGCAGTTCAGCAGCTTTTGAGTCTGAGTCAATCCAAGCTTGCCAGATATGCCAGTCTCAACATTGCCCTTACCCTCTTCAAGTCACCGAACAGCGACATCCAGCACTACGCCACCACCATCGTCAAAAAGCAGGAGCTCCGGGGCGGGTCACCAGCCAGGCTCGAGGCTTCACAGGCACCAGCGTGGCCGCCCGGTCAAGCGCCAGATCCATGGTTGGGGTTGCTAGCCGGGAATCGGGACCTGGTGACTTGACAGAAGTCGAGGTCATCTGCAGGAAGTACCGAAGTCCCGAGAGCATTCGAATCGACACTCGGCCACTGTGGTCCATGGCGGATGGCAGATACTGCGTCCGCACTATGGTCAAATGTCCGACATGCTCGAAGGTCAAGAACAAGCATGGGTTCTCCGTGGCAACCGAGTTCGAGCCGACCGACCAAGCAATACCTCGAATCCTGCTCACTTCTGTCAACACGGCGGCACGGACGAAGGCGAAGAAGGCGGCACAACTTGAAGCTCAAACATCGGCGACAATTTCTGAGACGGCGACATCTAATTATTCAACCACGGCTCTTTAGAAAATCGTATAACGCCTCGCGAGCGTCGCATGACAGCAGGTCAATCACGACACCAGGTCAATCACGACAACAGGTCAATCACGACAACAGGCCAATCACGACAACAGGCCAATCACGACAACAGGCCAATCACGACAACAGGCCAATCACGACAACAGGCCAATCACGACAACAGGCCAATCACGACAACAGGTCCCACCGATGGTTGGAGTGGCTAGCCGAGAATCGGGACCCGGCGATTTGACGGAATATGAAGTTGAGATCATTTGCAAGAAATACCGGGGACTCGAGAGTATTCGTATCGATACTCGGCCGCTCTGGTCCTTGGCGGATGGCAGATACTGCGTCCGTACAACGACTTGCTCGGTGACTTGAACAGGGTGCCAATGCCAATGCCGAGGTTGTCGGAAAACCCCTGCTGGAGGGGAAGGGCAATGTTGAGGCCAGCATCTCTAGCGAGGCTGGATTGACTTTGGTATTCTTGAGGAAGCCATGACTGGAGTGCCGGAAGTTGGAGGGTCTGAATCGCGACTGCCCAGAATTGTTCGATAATGTTCAAGTGCGCATTGTCCGCGTCTTGGTGAGCCGATCCGAGCAGCAGCATCTTCCATTTTCGAGGGCCATGGGTCGTCGATTCCCGGATTTGCGAGTAGAGAAGCTTTGAAACGGCTGGGTTTATAACGGCATTTCGATGAGTGGCATATCGTGCGGCCAGATCTGTCGCTTGTCCGACGTACAGCATCAAGAAAGTCGGGTCTGTCGGGTCCGTTAAGGTGATGATATACCACCCTGGTGTCTTAATATCATGATTGTGGGCGGATGGTAGCTTCTCAAAGATGCCCGTATCGCGGATGGCCGTGGTGTGTAAGCTGCAAAAGTCTAGATGCACACTGCATCACTCGCCGCTTCATCACATCACCGCCGGTCCAACGCCTCCCGCTGCGTCGATCGATTGAACTACTGCGTCGATTGAACTGCTGCGTCGATTGAACTGCTGCGTCGATTGAACTGCTGCGTCGATTGAACTGCTGCGTCGATTGAACTGCTGCGTCGATTGAACTGCTGCGTCGATTGAACTGCTGCGTCGATTGAACTGCTGCGTCGATTGAACTGCTGCGTCGATTGAACTGCTGCGTCGATTGAACTGCTGCGTCGATTGAACTGCTGCGTCGATTGAACTGCTGCGTCGATTGAACTGCTGCGTCGATTGAACTGCCGCGGTGTCCTTGTCGTTCGCATCGAAGGCGGTCTGACGCGCGATACACCAGGTCGACTTGGGTCCAATGATGGCCTCCAGAGCCGCTTCATCGTCGAGGAGCTCGATGCGGCGTTGCTGGTAGTCGGACGGGTCGCGGGAGAACGCCATCTCCCAGTTCATGTTTTTGGTGCCGATTAGTTCGATCACGCAGCCGACTCGGGCCAGGATGTCGTGCGCCGTGACGGCCTCGGCGGTTCCATGTTGAAGCAGCTGGTCGGCGCGCGCGAGGACCATGTCCAGCTTCTCTACGCTGATGAAGGTGGGTGGACGCGGGGTCTCTGGAGTTGCGGTGGTGTTGTCACCTTCCTCCTCCTGGGCGCCAGCCTCAGGGACGTTGTAGATGGCCAGAACCTGACCAAGGCGGTAGAAGTCGCGGTCCGATCGCATGGTCCAAGCCACCTCATGCTCGCTGAACATGGCATGGATGACAATGAACTCACGGAACCAGTGAGCCGCACGGACTGGTGCGATGACACCCATGCACTTCAGACCAGCATCATCCAGCTGTCTCCGCGGTGCTTGATGGAGGCTCCCATCACAACCGACTTGTTTGGGTTCTGAGGGACAGCAGAAACCGCGGTCTGAAGCTGGGCGATCAGGAAGTCGCAGGAGGCGATGATGTATTGCGACGAACGGCTGGTGCGGGGCCGTTTGCGGTCGGCTCGGCCGCGGCCAATTCCTCGGCTTGCTGGATCCAGGCTTTGATATTGTTGGCGACCCTTCCGTAGAAAACGGCTGGGCTTCGGCACCACTATCAATGATGTCCTGAAGGTCCTTGAGCTTGGAAAGAAGGTCTTGTTGGTGAGCGGCGGGGCTGCCGTCCGCGCCGATATAGCTGACTGCCTGAAGCACCAATCCATCGGCACACAAGCGCATCATCTGTCCGAGACGCCGACCCGTCAGCCAGAAAAGTCGGAATTGCCTCAATCCGCCCAAACGTCGGCGGTGCCATGACGAAAGGGCCCAGCGACTTGGCCGCAACATGCCCCGGCAGCTTGGCGTGGCCTAGCGGCGGAGATTGGAGGCTCAATGGCTCCAGAACTGACGTCGTCTGAACAGGCGGGCGGGCATGTCGCCCCAGTGGATGTTTCTGGATGATTCGGGGGGTTTAGGGGGGACGTTCAGTGGGGGACCGCCCGAACCCACAGGCGGAAAATCCCGCGGCGTCGCCCTGTCCGGCACTGACGGGCAGCCTGACGCCGCATGTCCGTCACGGCGACAGCGGACAGGGAGCTCCCAGCAGTGTCGCACTACAAACGGCGGCACCCTACTTAACAGATGTAGCCTGAGGTGATGGGATGCCTGGCACCGCCACTGATCGGCGTCCAAATGCCTGTGAACATGAAACAGCCAGCCTACCCCTTTGTTATCCATCATTGCATCGCTTCGTCGGGTACGACTCCGAAAGTCCAGCACATCACGACACAGCACACCACCACTGCAGAATATCTCTCGCCATCACCTCAGGCAATTGCAGCCCGCTCGCTGTGCCCGACCAATTGACACGTATCGTCGTCGACGAAAGAAGACAGCGCCTGATCGTACGACGCCTCTTCCTCCTGCCTGCCTTGCCCTGCGCCCGCAGCAGCAGAAACCCACGATCCCGCCGCGGCCAGCCTGAATTTACCCCGCGCCCGCCCGACGACAGACACTTTTTTTTGCCCACCCCTGCCTGCGCCGACCACGTCCCACGCACCTCCGTTTTTACCCCGCCATCGCATTCCCTCAACCAACAACTCCCCCCGGACAAACTTTCAACTTCCATCACAACACACCTCCGACACTTCCCATCCCTTCTACTCAACACACACACCCCGCGACAATGGGCAAGCAACCGAACCTGTACGCGTTCCCCGACGTGGGCGCCCTCGCGACGGGCCTGCGCGCCTACGTGATCGCGGCACAGAACGCCGGCCTCGCCCGCCACGGCGCCTTCAAGGTCGCCGTCTCGGGCGGCTCGCTGCCCAAGACGCTCGCCCAGGCCCTCCTCTCCCCGTCGTCCGGCCCCGACGACGTCGTCCGCTTCGACAAGTGGGAGGTCTTCTTCGCCGACGAGCGCGCCGTGCCCCTCGACCACCAAGACTCAAACTACGGCCTCCTCAAGGCAGAGCTCCTCGACAAAATCCCCGCCGACCTCGGCCAGCCCCGCGTCCACCCCATCGACGTCGCCCACCTCGACGACGCCCAGGAGCTCGCCGACCAGTACGAGCAGACCCTCGTCACCAGCTTCGCCTCGCGCGACTCGGTCCGCCTCCCCATCTTCGACCTCCTCCTCCTCGGCTGCGGGCCCGACGGCCACACCTGCTCCCTCTTCCCCGGCCACGAGCTGCTGCGCGAAACGAACGCCTGGGTCGCCCCCATCGAGGACTCGCCCAAGCCGCCCCCGCGCCGCATCACCCTCACCCTCCCCGTCGTCACCCACGGCGTCAAGGTCGCCTTTGTCGCCACCGGCGCCGGCAAGAAGGACATTATGAAGCAGATCTTTGAGCAGCCCGCCACCGGCCTGCCCTGCAGCCTCGTCAACGAGGGCGCCGGCGACCGCAGCAGCTGGTTCGTCGACAACCCCGCCGTCGAGGGCGTCTCATTCCCCCGCAGCGTGCTGTAGGAAGTGCTCGCGGCGGAACCGCCGCCCGTCCAGCGACGGCGGCGCGGGGCGGACGAAGATAGACCACCTGGCAGGCAGCCGACCATCACTAGACGGGGGCGTCTCTTCTGGATCTCGTTTTCTTAATTTTTTTTCTCACGCAC